GACCAGAACCCCGGAAGAAAGCCCCGCTCAGACATTGAGTGACAGGGACAGCCGGAACTCTGGGGCATAGACATTGGGGGAAGGGAGGCCATAGAGGTATAAGAAGAATAGAAGGGACAGAGCAGGGAATACGGCACGGGGTGGACCCCAGAGGCGGCCCCTGGACTCTGTTACATCCTGGATTAATTTTAGTGACATTCCAAGTCTCTGACTAGCTTCAAATAATTATCTTCTTTTCAATCAACACCCATAACAACATTTCTTCCCTCCCCCCAAAAAATTATCCTTGTTTGAGGCCCAGAATAAACAATATTAAATCCAGAATCAATGAGTAGTTTAAGATATGATGTATTCCATATCCCGAAGGTAACAAACTACAGTTGACTATCCAAGAATCTCAACCTGTTGTTTTTTTCTTTAAAAATTTCATAAAACAAAAAAAGAGAGGGCATGGATTTAAACTCTCGCCTTGAACTTAGTCCTTTACTTCTACAGAGACCGTGTTCTCAATTTCCAAGAATACAAACACATGTTGCATTACTCAAACATCCTCATCTAGTCAACCTTTGACTGAGCCACATGCAGCCAACGTTAACCTTTAAATGTTAAAGATGGAGGAATCCTGGAGAAGAATTTGGTTTGATTTTACTTTTATTCCTATTATTTGCAAGTGTCTTTGCATTAAGAAGGGTATCATTTAGACATACTATACAGACAATAACTCCTTGTTTAACACTGTAGTTACTACTACTACATAGATACTACTATGTTAAAAGAATCCAATTTCCCCATAAGATATAATGTAAATAGGGTGGGTTAGGTTCAAGGGAAAGAATAATTGAATACTAGGACTGGAAGGGACCTCAAGAGGTCACTGAGTCCAGTCTCCTGCCCTCATAAAAGGGCCCACTACTGTCTAGACCATCCCTGATAGACATTTATCTAACCTACTCTTAAACACCTCCACAGATGGAGATTCTACAACCTCCTTAGGCAATTTATTCCAGTGTTTAACCCCCCTGACAGTTAGGAAGTTTTTCCTAATGTCCAACCTAAACCTCCCTTGCTGCAGTTTAAGCCCATTGCTTCTTGTTCTATCTTCAGAGGCCAGGAAGAACAAATTTTCTTCCTCCTCCTTGTGACACACTTTTAGATACCTGAAAACCACTATCATGTCCCTTCTCAATCTTCTCTTTTTCAAACTAAACAAGCTCAATTCTTTCAGTCTTCCTTCATAGGACATGTTTTCTAGACCTTTAATCATTCTTGTTGCTCTTTTCTGGATCTTCTCCAATTTCTCCATATCTTTCTTGAAATGTGGTGCCCAGAACTGGACATAATACTCTAATTAAGGCCTAATCAGCGCGGAGCAGAGAGGAGGAATGACTTCTCATGTCTTGCTCGCAACACTCCTGTTAATGCATCCCAGAATCATGTTTGCTTTTTTTACAACAGCGTCACACTGTTGACTCATATTTAGCTTGTGGTACATTATAACCCCTAGATCCCTTTCTATCGTACTCCTTCCCAGACAGTCGCTTCTCATTCTGTATGCATGAAACTGATTGTTCCTTCCTAAGTGGAGCACTTTGCATTTGTCTTTATTAAATTTCATCCTGTTTACCTCAGACCATTTCTCCAATTTGTCCAGATCATTTTGAAATATGACCCTATCCTCCAGAGCAGTCGCAACCCCTCCCAGCTTGGTATCATCTGCAAACTTAGTAAGTGTACTTTCTATGCCAATATCTAAATTGTTGATGAAGATATTGAACACAGCCGGTCCCAAAACAGACCCCTGCCGAACCCCACTTGTTATACCTTTCCAGCAAGATTGTGAACCATTAATAACTACTCTCTGAGTATGGTTATCCAGCCAGTTATGCACCCACCTTATAGTAGCCCCATCTAAGTTGTATTTGCCTAGTTTATTGATAAGAATATCATGCAAGACCATATCAAATGCCTTACTAAAGTCTAGATATACCACATCCCCTGCTTCTCTCTTATCCACAAGACTCATTATTCTATCATAGAAAGCTATCAGATTGGTTTGACATGAATTGTTCTTTACAAATCCATGCTGGCTGTTCCCTATCACCTTATTATCTTCCAAGTGTTTGCAGATTATTTCCTTAATTACTTGCTGCATTATCTTGTCTGGCATAGAAGTTAAACTGACTGGTCTGTAGTTTCCTGGGTTGTTCTTATTTCCCTTTTTATAGATGGGCACTATATTTTCTCTTTTCCAGTTTTCTGGAATCTCTCCTGTCTTCCATGATTTTCCAGAGATGATACCTAAAGGCTCAGACACCTCCTCTATCAGCTCCTTGAGTATTCTTAGATGCATTTCATCAGGCCCTGGTGACTTGCAGGCATCTAACTTTTCTAAGTGATTTTTAACTTGTTCTTTTTTTATTTTATCTTCTAAACCTACCCCCTTTCCCACTAGCATTCACTATGTTAGGCATTCCTTCATCAGACTTTTCAGTGAAGACCGAAACAAAGAAGCCATTAAGCATCTCCTCCATTTCCAAGTTTCCTGTTACTCCTCACTGAGCAATGGGCCTACCCTGTCCTTGGTCTTCCTCTTGCTTCTAATATATTTATAGAATGTCTTCTTGTTTCCCTTTATGCCTGTAGCTAGTTTGAGCTCATTTTGTGCCTTTGCCTTTCTAATCTTGCCCCTGCATTCCTGTATTGTGATCATGCAAGATCTCATGGTTAAGCCAAGGTGGTCTTTTGCCATATTTTCTATCTTTCCTAAGCAGCAGAATAGTTTGCTTTTGGACCCTTAATAATGTTCCTTTGAAAAACTGCCAACTCTCTTCAGTTGTTTTTCCCCACTGTCTTCCCTCCCATGGGACCTTACTTACCAGCTCTCTGAGCTTTCCAAAATCTGCCTTCCTGAAATCCATTGTCTCTAATTTGCTGTTCTTCCTTCTACCATACCTTAGAATCACAAACTCTATGATTTCATGCTCACTTTCACCCAAGCTGCCTTCCACTTTCAAATTCTCAACCAGTTCCTCCCTATTTGTTAAAATCAAATCTAGAACAGCTTTCCGCCTAGTAGCTTTTTCAACCTTCTGTAATAAAAAGTTGTCTTCAATGCAGTCCAAGAACTTATTGGATAGTTTGTGCCCCGCTGTGTTAGGGTGGGGCTTTTTTAGCAGACAAAAGACAGTATATACATATACAGTAAAAGTTATAAACAATTTTAAACAATTTAATAGTGTACACAGCAATGATGATTGTGATGTTTGGTTGAGGTTGTAGAGTCAGAGAGTGGAATATTCCAAGGGAATATCTTGCTACTAAATGATGAACCAGCACTTGGCTGAGTCGTCAAAGGTAATCACATTATGGTTAATTTAGCCTCAAACTCTACAGTATGTACTGAGGCAGGTGGGAGGAAGCACAACAGACCTGCTTTGTAGAGATGGGGTATGAAGTGGAGGGCTCAATCAGAGGGCTGGGGAAACATCCTAACATCAGCAACCTTTCTTCTCCTGCTTCCTACACTGCAAGCAAGGAGCTCCTGAGAGCAGTTCTAAGACAGAGGGCAAGGAGCAGCACAGCAATGGTGGGAGGGCAGCAAAATTGCTGCTGGCAGCTGCCCAAGTGCATATGATATTTTATAAGGAACTTAGGGGAGCTAATGGTGGGGGCTGCTAGCTCATCCTGCATACAAGCCCCTATGAGTACATGCTGCTTTTCCAGAAAATCCTGCAAGTAGCGGACAAAGCAGGAGGCTAAAATACATTATAAGAGAACATTGCACAACTTTAATCAAGCATGTGATCTAAGGGTACGTCTACACAGCGCAGCTACCCCACGTCTTAACAAGCTGCCTGTTATTCTGAAATATTTTTCAAAATAATGGGCATGCTATTTCAGCATCCCTGTAACCCTCGTTCAGGAGAGTTAAGGGATGTCTCAAAATAGAACGCTATTTCGAAATGTAGTGCTGTGTAGAAGCACCAAATTTCAATATAAGCTATTTTGAAATAGAATAGAAATAAGATACGCAATTTGCACTATGCAAATTGCATATCTTATTTCGAGTTTAGGGTGCTGGGAACTGGGAAAATGTTAAACAGTACATCACAAAACATTGAGTGGGCAACTATTAATAGGCAACAAATTTAAGTGAATTTATTTTTAAAAATACTCCTAAAAACATACTTGATTACAGACACTAGCAGGTGTTATATTTCCTTTTCTTTCTTTTTCTGTTTGTAAATATATATATATATATATATATAAAACAGAGAGAGAGAGAGAGAGAGAGAGAGTACAGAACAGATGCAATCCTATGCTAGTAATTACTGTAAAATGTGGGGAGGGAAGGAATAAATTGATCTGTGACAGCATTTGTTCCCCTTTTTGGGGACTGCTTTGGGTTTCTTAGATTTTTGCACACACAAATCACAGGATATATGATCTCAAATAATTTAGGTTCCCTAATTAGTCTTTTCTTAAAAACTCTAAAATGTGTATTCCAAATAGTGAAACAGTTTCAGCCACATTCTGTCACACATTCATTGAGTGGGACATTATTCCTTATGCAATTCCATTCATTTTAGTGACACTACTCAAATGAATCGGACTGTGTAAGGGACTGCATAAGGCTAACAGAATCAGTTTTTTTCAAAGTCAAAGAATTTTATCTGAATATATTGAAGAAGTTTTTTTTCCTTAATGCCACTAATTTTGTACACACTTGATCATATGGTATTCTCTATAGTGAATTTAATAATTACACATGGCGGGCCCACCCTCAAAACTTTGACTTGTGTAAGTAATCCTTACAGAAATAATCCCACTGAAGTCAATAGGACAAATATGTCAATAGGAACTACTTTCATGAGTAAGGATTTCAGTATTAAGCCCTGTCTTTTATATCATAATCAGAGCAGTGTACCCAAAGAAATGAATACATATTCTTGCTAGTTTCTGACAAATTGTATAACACCTGTTTTTGTTAGAAGTCTTACCTTTTTCTGAAGGACATTGATTTTTCTTTCCTTTACTTCTAACATGTCTTTCATATCTCGAATCTCCCCCGCCAAGGTTCCCTTCTCTTCTGTGAGGTCTTGCAGTTGTTTTGTTTTTTTATTAAGAAAACTTTCTTTTTCTTCCAGTCGCAATCTCAAGGCATCAACCTGTAGTCAATAAATGAAACACGAAGACTTTAAGGAAAAAATGTTAGTAAATAATAGTTCAGGTTATTTAAGCTTCTCCATTTTAACCCATTTTCTATTTCATATGAAATCTCCATTTTTGGGCAAAGATTTTCTATGCCCAAAGCTGATTTTTATTCTTTCAGGGTATGTCTACAAAGCTCCCTAAATTCAAAATAAGATACGCAATTTGCACTAAGCAAATTGTGGGTCTTATTTCAATTCTATTTCAAAATAGCTTATTTTGACATTTGGCGCATCTACACAGCACCAAATTTCAAAATAACACTATTTTGAGACATCCAAATGAGAGTTACAGGGATACCAAAATAGTGTGCCTGTTATTTCAAAAAATACTTCAAAATAATGCGCAGCATGTTAAGACACGGGGTAGTTATTTCAGGATACCTCCAGTATCCCAAAATAGCCGTGCTGTGTAGACGTACCCTCAGAGAATAAAATAAATATACTCTCTAATTATTCTTTAGAGCTTGTTGTTTTGGTTGTTCAACAGCTCTAAAACAATAAAGTACTAAATTGAAATTTGAAAATAAAAACATCCTTTATTGAATCGAGGTGCTTATAAATAATTTAGGAAAGTTCATTTTGATTTGATAATGTGTAAGCAATTGAAAATAGTACTCTGAACTGTTTTATTTTATTTTTCTTGTTAAAGTAATGAAATGCACAGCTAGGGAAGGTCACCCTGTCTATATAATACCAAGGTACCTTATCTGTAGAAAAAAAAATCAAGGTGCCACCGAACAAAGGAAGAGTTTTAACAGGAGCCTTTATCTTCTTCAATGTACATCTTGTAAGGATCTCAGTAAATGAAGAACAAAAGTACTTCCTATATTCACTGCAAATCTTATAAGGTAAAAAAGTGAACATATCTGAAGGCCCTGAATAAAAAAGGTCCTTTCCTCCAGCCCTTGTGGAGTGTATCTAATCAAGTTGTTCTATATTATGGATTTTTTTTATTTCTTAGTAAAAAAATATGAAATTCTATTATACTTATTAACAGGGTTAAGTTTACACTAATAACACCTCAAGAGTCAGGAAACACATACAACTTTAACTTGTCATATTCTAAATAACCATGCCACTTTGATATACCATTAACTTAGATAGTTGGTGGAATGTATTCATAAGATAAAAAAATACATCATATATATATTAGCCCAATGTCTGAGAGTCTGTAATGCTGAAATGCTGGATGTTCCCTCTGGGCGGCACTGTTGCCTGAAATGTTGGCTGTTCCCTCTGGGTGGCGCTATTGCCTGAAATACTGGCTGTTCCCTCTGGGCGGAGCTGTTGCTGAAATGCTGGCAGTTCCCTCTGGGTGGCCCGTGCTGCATGGGGAGTGCGGGGCCCAAATGGCCGCTTGCTCCATTTGCTCCCCTGCAGCAGCCCGGCTGAGCGGTGCAGAAGTCAGCTGAGCACCACGGCGGGAGGCGAAAGGGGGTGGGGTGGTGATGTGTGGCGTGACAGTGGCTCCAGGCCCCACCCCTGGCCGTGAACATCACTGCCCCGCCCCCCTTCGCCTCCCACCGTGGCGCTCGGCTGACTTCTGCACTGCTCAGCCGGGCCGCCGCGTGGGAGCAAGTGGCGCAAGCGACTGTTTGGGCTCCGCAGTCCCCCAAGTGAGAGGCAGGAGGGGGAGGAGAAGAGAAAGAGAGAGAGACAGAGGCAGGAGGTGGAAGAGAGCTGAGAGAGAGAGGCGGGGGAGGCAGGAGGAGGAGGAGAGAAAGAGACATGGAATGAGAGATTGGAGGCTCAGGAGAGAAGACCGACGTGGAGAAGAGACCTGAAAATCCCGTCTTATGATGGGCTAATTGGCTAATATTGAAATAGTTGTCAAAATATGGTCAGTAGAGAACTTGTGATCTGGAAAGAACTAGTAAGTCATTTGATACTGGTTCCTACTCATATACAGCTGTTTTTATAGACAACTAGATTTATCATTGCAGGTAAGAGTCTGGATATCCATAAAGGCACTGGAAAGAAAGGAGAAAGCAAGCCCCTTTAACTACATCTGAAATAAGAGAGGAAAAAGAAGCCATCTTCAGGGATCATAGGTACAAATGGGATTAAAGCTGACAGGTATTATATGGTGTAATCAACATGAAAGGAACGTCCAGTGGAAAGGAAGCAAAGTGACCAGGCAGCATAATCAGGGTAAGCACGGGAAGGGATGACCAGTGGTTAAACAGTATGTCCCAGGAAGCAGAGAACTAGGGATTGGGCAGTTACATACACTGGAGAGTGAGATCAAGCAGCTAGGAAGTACATACAAAAAAGGAAAGAGAATCATAGTAGCAGACAAGCGAATGCCAGCAGGAGAAAGGGGACAGAAAAGATAAAAAGAGGGACAACTGAAGAACAAAAAGACAGAGACAAATAATTATTGCACAATGTAGTTAAAATATGTTAGAAATGTCATATGAGAAAAGCATTATGTAAACAAATTATATACAACATGTGCCACAGGGATATTGCATGCTTACAAGTAGAATAGGTGTTGGGCTACACATTGTGTATGAGAGGAGGAGAGGTCCACTGGACTCTTTTTCTATGAATACACAATATGAACTGAGATGCGGTATGGGGACTTCACATATTTATTATTCATACTACCAACAATCAAGCTTTATGGTGTTTAAAATTTCCTTATTGTGCTATGGTTTACAATAATCAAAGGAATTTTAAGTAAAAGTTTGTCACAGTTTCTTTAAAATACTAACTATCCAGATTTAACAAAAAACTTAAACATGTGTTTAAGTTAATTCATCTGAGAAATTCCATCCCAACCAAGCAAAGTATTTAAGCACGTTTAACTGCTTTACTGAATCAGATCCATAATAACCAATAATCATTCTTAATTATGATAGATAGATAGATAGATAGATAGATAGATAGATAGATAGATAGATCGATAGATAGATAGATAGCAAATTATGATAACAAAGGTGAAAAAAGTGAAATCATACAGAATGAACAGTAAACATGCAACTGGAAAATGTAACAATATAGGATTTAAACAAGCTGCACTGTACATGGAACAAAAGAATAGGAACAATATGAAAATTAAATGATCCAGCACTGGAATAATTTAAGATTGAAAAGATCCAACTTGGAATGACTACACAGTAGAAGAATCCAAAATACACTATGTAAGCTGTGTTGAGCTTAATATTCTGCAAATGAAAAACTTGCACATAAAGGTTACTGAAATGGAAAGAGCAAAAGCAACATCTCTCTGCTGGAAAACGCAGTCAAAGAGATTACTTTAGTAGAAACACAGTGTGGTAAATACAGGAGATCCATGCATGTTGCAGAATCGTTATTCACAGTTCTGCATATTCACAGGGGTCACCTGTCCTGACCTGGGGGGTGGTGAGAGTCAGTGCAGTTAGTTTCTTGGGGTTCCCAGCCCCAGGGTGAGTTCAGGAGCCACAGCTCCCAGGATTCACAAATTTTGCCATTTGCGGTGGTGCCAGAAATGCATCCACTACAAATGGTGAGGGTTTCCTGTAAAGCAGAACTGAAAAAGATATATAACAAATTAAGATTGAATTGGAAAGTAAACCCATTAAAGGCATCTCAATTTTTTTCTCTACTGTAAGCATTGTTTTTATAGAAAGGACAACTTATTACTGGGTGGGAGCAAAAGCCAAAGGGGGATGATAAGCACAGTTGTTTACATTTTTTCTTTGTTAATCATAATTTTAAAATGAAACACACACACACACAAAAATCTTCATCCAGGCACCAACTCAGCAAAGAACTTTAATACATACTTAACTGTAACCATTTATAACTTAAATGGGAGTTACAACTGACACTTGCTTCCTTGAAGTATTACTTAAAACAGGTCTCCCTGTATATACATACTTCTGCACTGAAATGCAGCAACCTATGCTGCAGTGAGCAGAAACCAGGCATTATAGACAAGGAGAGGGAAGGTTTGGAAAACTGAGTAAAGATATTAGAAAATTATGACAAATTATTGTCTTCCCTACTCTGTTATTTTTCAGATCAAAATAGCTAAAATATTAAGCCTTAGGTTTTCTGTAGTTTTCTTGTTACCTCTATACAGTAATTCCTCATTTAACACTATAGATATGTTTTACAAAATGATTGTGTTAAGTGAAAACGTGTTATGCGGGGTCAATTTTCCTATTGAAAATAATGGAAAAGTTGGGGGTTGCGTTTCAAGCGGTCATGTCTGTTGGGACCAGGACATAGGGTTGAGGGAGAAAGGGGACTGGATTACAGCAGGGAGGGGAGGTGTTTGGCTCTGCGGAGGAGAGGGGAGGGGGATTGGGTTGGGAGTATGCCCCTGTGACAGGTTTGCCGGAACCTGCACTGCATCTGGCGAGGGGAGAGGGGGTCACTGAGGAACGGCATGGCAAGTGGCGAACCCTCAGTCGCTTTGCAGGGAGGTGGGGAAGCCCCGCGCAGCCACCGGTGACGGGCCGGATGTGGAAACCCAGCTGCTGGCCTGCAAGCGGGGGTGGAGGAAAGGGGGCAAGGTGTCCGGCAAAAGGGAGTCTGCGGAGAACAGCGCGGCGAGAGGCAAACCCTCCACCGCTTTGCAGGGAGGCGGGGGAAGCCCTGCACAACCGCTGGCAATGGGCCGGTTGGGGAAATCGTGTTATTCCAGGGACGGTCGTGTAATTAAAAAAACACTCCCTAAAAAAAAAATTGTGCTATCGCGAAAACGTGTTAAGCAGGCACGTGTTAAATGAAGAATTACTGTATATAAAAAAGTTTTTCCTGCCAGGCGACAGAATGACATCATCACTAAGGATGTTAAGAAGCGTGTAACTAACTATTCGTGAACTCAATACAATTTGTATTGAGTACGCAATTAGTCGATAAGCTGTGGGTCTGTAGTTTAAACCTAGTAGCAGCTAGGTGTGCAGGCAGACCGGCTTCTAGTGCATTTAAACTGCAGAGCTGCAGCAAGGGTGGGTCTG